ATATATATATATGTGTAAGAATGGCTCCTAATCGGACACATATCGACTATTTTTGCTCGTTCCAAAGTTTAAAAGTGAAAATTCTTAACAGGCAAACGAAATTTTCCACTACAGATGCATGAGACGTAGGCGTATATGAAACCTGAATTTGGAACTTTGAATCGCGCATGGACTAGGAACATCCTTCCAAAATTCCAGCTTTCTAGTTTTCTGGCTTTTAAGTTAGTGACTTTTACGCTAGAACTTTTACGTGGACCCGAATCCTCTGCGTACTTGAAAGTTAACTTTGAGTTTGTGAGGCTCCTACACAGGCAGAAAATGTCCTCCTGAAACTTCAGCCTTTTAGTTCTTCTGGCTCTCAAGGTAACAATTTTCCCCGCCAAAACTTTTTTCACGAGTTATACGGGAGACTAGGCGAGACTGAAAGCTGGATTTAAATATGCGGGGTCGCACGTGGGTGGAGGCATCGCCCTGAAATTTCAGCTTCCTAAATTCTGAGGTTCCCGAGAAAGCAATTTTCCCGTCGAAACTTTCACTAGGCTGTATGTGGTATTCAGGGGGGACGTGAAGGCTGGATTTAAATTAGCGATTTCGCAAAGAGGCAATAGGCATTCCCTTGAAACTTCAGCTTCCTAGCTTTTGAGATCACCGAGAAATAAATTCCTCTGCCAAAACGTTCAGGAAGCCATACGTGGTACCGAGGAGTATGTGGAGGCTGTTTTAAATATGGGAGGTCACACGTGGGCGGAGATCATTCCACTAAAATTTCAGTCCCCTAGCTTTCGTGGTTCTCGAGTTAAAAGTTCGGAATAAAACGCGCGCACACACACGCACGCACGCGTACACACACACGCACACACATATATATACACACACACACATACACATATAGACAATCAACTCACATACATACACACACAAACACATGCACACAAAACGACAGGTGCACGACAATATGTGTTTGCACCGTTGCATAGCGTAAAACGTATGAAAACGCATTAAAAAGGGGAACTCCCTTAATGAAATGGATACCGAAGTGGACTCCAGGATTGCACACGTTTAACATTGCGTGATTTTCTGTTTCGCACGTTTCCTGACAGCGTGAAGAGAATTTCTTTTTTTCTCTGCGGCCCGGTCAGAGTTGGCTGCGGCGGCGCACGCTACAGTTATATAACAGCCAAGTAGCCAGCACAGTTGGCTGGTCCGGTGGTGATTAGTTACAGAATGTGTTACCTAATCACCATAACATGACCGCCCAAAAAATTTGCCATTTTTATGCGCCATTTTATGTTACTCATATGAAAAAGTCCATGTTATTGAGAAATTATCCGTATATGTGTGTTTTCGGAAGCAAGTGAACTTTGCAACAACTGCAGGAAACTGTGAGGTTGAAATTGTAGGATCAAATTCCAGTGCCAGATGTTACCCTCTTGTTTTAGAATAACACAAGTCTGCCTGGGACTCACATACCGACATCTGAGAAAGTATTTAAGCTTTTTGATGTGAAGCCATTTCGGGAACCGATGAATTTAGGAAACTAGAACTGTCTAGAGATGCTATCTGTCAGAGATTACAAATTTAGCTATTGCCCACGTTCACATCGCACGTGCTGTCGCGTCAATTTTAACAGTTGGCATTTTGTTAACTCAGCAACTTAGGCTGCAGTGTAGCAAGCTTACTGGTGCGATTGTGCGTTTTTGTGCTAAACTTGAAGCAATCGGGTCGTTATCTGTATAAATGGTTGTTGCTTTACATTTAACTTGTCCATTCATTACAGTTAGCAGTTCTGGTTCCGCAGTTAGCAATTCTTCTGCCAAAAATTTCGCATGTCCGTGTCTGAGAACCGAGCGTACTTCGGAACTGAATTTGAAATCATCAGATCGCACGTGGGCAGGGAGAATCTCATAATTTCAGGCTCCTAGCTTACCTAGTCCTCCTTCACGTGGTCGTAAGTGTCACCTAGGCGTACGTGAGAGTTGAATTTAAAAAATTTGCATTAAATGAGGTAGACATCTTCCTCGAATTTGAGCTTCCTAACCTTTCTGGTTCTCGAAATAGTGATTGCCCGCCGACATTTTCACTTGTCCCTGTGTGAGATTTAGGCGTAAGTGAAAGTTGAATATAAATTTACGAGGCTGCAAATGGACATGGGACATTCCCCCATAATTTCAGCTTCCTAATTTTTGTCGTTCCCGAAATAGTATTTTTCCTCGCCAAAAATTTCGCGTGACCTTCTTGAGACCTAAGCTTACGTGGGAGTTGAAGTTGAATTTGCACAGTCCCATATGGCATCCCTCTCAAGTTTTATTTTCCTGGCTTTATTAGTTTTTGAGTGAAAAATCTGGGACAAGACGCACTTGGACACACACGTCTATATATACACACACACACACACACGGCACGTGACGTGACAATATGGTTTGGTACAGCTGTTACACTGCATAAAACGGATAAAAACGCGACGACTTAATTAAGTCCTAAACAGACTGGGCCTGTAAGAAGTGGAGAGGAGGAGGAGAGGGGCACCAAAACTAGAACTATCAAGTGCGCCAGGAAGCGTAAATGCATCTGTCAGTAAAGCCGGGGACTCCACATCAATAGCCATTGTGATTTTGATGAAGGAAAAATAATACTAAAAAATTTCAGCTTAATAATGAAGTAAATACATTGTCGAAAGAAATGGGTAAATTAAGATACCTTCTTCAGCAGAAGGATGAGCAACTGGTCCAAAAAAGTAAAGAAGAAGCAGAACAGCAAAGGTCTGTATAAGTTTATTTTCCCTTTATTATTTTCTTCCCGTCATTTCTCTTCCTATTTTTTCCGTAACCCACCTCCTCCTCCATCCCTCCCTCCCTGTCTGCCTTCCTACAGGCACATGTAGTCACCAAAACAGTAAACATTTCTGGATTTGCAGTCCATTAACTGCATGACAAAAAAAAAAGAAAATCAAATCACTGTGTTAGACCGTCTTTAGTTAAACCCAATCCGCTGTGCCATGCTGTGCCACTTAGAGTAGCGTAGTAATTGTTGTTTAGCAAAAAATCTACATATTCTTAGCCTAAGCAAGGCTAATGCGATAAGGTCTTGCATCCAGAATAAGATCACCTAGACTCGCTGCGCTCGGCGTTCTTTTTCACAAGCTTGTAGTGCCATCGCCGTTTTACGGCTATTGGATTCACTAAAAAAAAAAACAATTATTTGGTCCTTCTCAGTAACCAGAAATTGTTTTTTAAGCCGGATCAGTGAGTTCGAAAAGCAGTTTAAGCACTGCACAGACGAGAATGCCGAACTGCGCACTCAGCTACACAATTGTGCTGAGTCCTTAAAACAGCATCAGGTACGTCTTAAACAAACAGATGCTGCACCTACTGATTGTCGGGATTCCATTTAATCAGTCTGAAAGTTGGTAGCGTGGACCTCTTTGAGTACTTGCGTGTGGAAACTGCATTTCAAATGATCGAATCGCCGTGCTTGGAAAACTAATCTTGGAGGAATTAATTCATCACTATTCACTACACCTTAAATGTTTTTAAGGAAAACCGGACGAAAGAGGCAGAAGAAGTGAAGTCTTTGGAAAAAGAAAATATGAGGCTACAGAAGGAGTACAGTGCCGCGCTAAATGAAATACAGCGGCTGAAGGACGATATAAGGCCTGCCGTAAAGTAAGCTTCTGCATCTGTATTACATCTGAAACAACGAGCAGCTTGATTAAACGAGGGCAGGTGGCTTCCTGTGATGAAGCTTCTCTCAGTGTTACGATTATACCGTTATGATCAGTAGTTTATTCCGTTATACTACTCAGTAGCTTCCCCAGGTAATTTCAAGGGAAGGTGGCTAGAAATCTGCTGCTCTTTCACCAGAAGAAAATCCATCTGCAATGAACATTTTAGCAGAAAATTTAACTTCTTACGCTTTTTTTCACGCTAATTGCATTTCTGTGGCTTTTATTGCTTTCTGGATGAATTTTTTACGTTTTTGGTGGTCTTTCTTCTCACTGGCCATGTTTTTTACATTGCTCTTGTTCTTACTTTTCATTATTGCTTGCATAACTGTTCAGTCATTTTCTTCTGAGCAGAAGCCATGGGGTACCAAATGTTTATGCTTGAATGGTGTAAGAAAACTTTCTTCTAGGCAGTTTTTGCAAGCATCAAAATTTCTTTATTTTTATAAGTAGGTTTTTTCGATCTTTGCAATTAGACGTTCGCTGGCTTATTTTGAGAAGGAGATATTGCTTGAAAGTTGTTTAGGTTAGAGAATGCGAAGATTTTATTGTTTTCTAGATTTGTTCAAAGCGAAAAGTAATAACCATCTTTTCAGCGCATTACAGTCAATTTTTGTGCTTCTTTATGTGAAAAAAAAATTTTGTGAAACTTTTACACTTTTCCTTTTTCTGCAAAAGATTCTAACGCTTGTTGATTGTTAAGAAGGGACGATCTTCTGCCGGATTACTCTACCACAGCTTCGCAATGTCTGGAACATTTAATCTTGTGGGATCTTGTTCACAACCGTGGAGGTGATTTGTTCACAGACTTTTACTTGTCTGCCAATATGTTTAAGAACGGATCTGGAACGACGTTTTGAAGAATATCGTTATCGTTTATCCTGCGCTTTGCAAACGGTACATGAGTATGAAGACGAAGTTTCAAAACTGAGAAGTCGTGTGGCAGAACTGGAGTCGGAAAGGCGGGACAGGAGGAGCGGTAACGACAAAGAGTTGGAACAACTTCACGAATACACCGGTCAGCTTGAGGAGCAATTTACAGCACAGGTCGGCATCATTGAAGCACTGAAGCGAAGGATTGTACAGGTTGCATTCATTTTCTGTTGTTACGTAGAGCTGATGCATAAAATGCAGTTTTTCCTTTCTGTAAAAGTCGTTTGTTGAAATCAAGCTCGCCTTCATAAAATTCACTTTTAAATAGGGACGAAAACACTTTTGCCTGAATGATATCACTTTTACTTACCACAGTAAGCTGTTGGCAAAACTTCAGATGATCCCTTTGGCGGTCAGTGATTTATTGATTGATTGTTTTCTGCAACGACGTGGCCCGAATCACGAGTAGTCTGGTCAGCTCGAATAGCAGTCCGCTAGGTTCCGTCTGCGCCATTGTGACAAGCAACTGCATCACCCACTGCCCAAACATTCTGCACTGAAGTGGTTGTGTTTTTTGCCTCCTAGAACTTAGTATGAAGAGGAAATTTGTTCCCATGGTAGTGTCTGTGTCCCGTTGCTAGCAGTAAGATTCCGGGGTAAAAAGATGGCTAACCCTGATCAACTGCACCATTCAAAATTTCTTATTTATCCACTGCAAATTTTCAGCATCTAATCTTGAATTTAAAGATTTTTTTTCAATTGCAGCAAAAAACGTTAGCAGATTTTTTATCGAGTATGGCAGAAAATGGGGAACTGAGCCTCTCAAAAATCGAAGATAAGTTGGCCAGGTTTCGATTGTCACAGCAAGATGAAGGAAACTGTCAACTGATGGATGCTGTTCAGAAACTTCTTCGGTTTATATCGACGAATTACGGTTACGGATATAAAGTGCTGCCTACTGCTCTCAGCTGATCAACTGATCTGTTGTATATTATGTCACTGATTGGAAATTTGTTCATTATGACAAATAGTTTGTTATAAATTAACATCATTTATAGGCAACCAAAAGGCAAATCATAATTTTTGTGCTGTTAATAAAAAGAGTTGAACTTTTTTTTACAGTTTTTCTCGATGTCTAGGTGTTTACAAGTTTTTTAGAGCTAGACTAGAAAAAGTGCCCCAGATGAAGAAAGGACTATTCTTGTGGTGTGCTTCTGAGTCTGCCAAAAATTTGATCCCATCCTTCTTAATGTGTTTGCATGCAAATTGCAACCTTTGGTGAGGCCAAATACTTTGTGTGCCTCTTCACTAATAGCCAGTGATTGATTCCTTCCTTGCTACACGAAAATCAAATGCGGAGAATGTCAGTTTGGAAAAATTAATACTTTCAACGAGTAGATAAATCTGTGTTGCGTTGTTGATTTATCGAATTAGAAGACTCAAATCAAACTCTGTGAAAGTCGTGGGTGGAAGCATGATTTGAAATGTAGGTAAATGAATTGTAATTCTCATCTGTGATTTTCATCATTGTATTAGCGAATGCTGCTAAGCAGTAGTTGTGTTTAATTGCTGCTAGACTCAACTTACAATCAGATGAAGCTCATCTCTTTCCATTTCGGAGTATGCAAGTTGTACATTCAGTAAATACGTGCACAGCTTCCAGAGAAGATGATGATTGTACTAATCCAGCATATCACAATCAAAATGGCGCCTCTTGCTAGTCCCCAACTGAAAGGTTAAAGGGCAGCATTAGAAGCCCGGAGCCAGTTTTTCGTTTTTCAACGTCTTAGGATCTCATTAGCAGCGCAGTATCAGTACTGCGCTGCTTTCACGGAAAGAAAATACAACAACGGAAGTTTTTTTAAAGGACAGTCCTGCTAGTAATGTTTTTATGAAGGAGGTCAAATGTTCCTGTTCGTTCCAACTGAATTCACTGGAGTTTCTTGGGTTTTTTGGCAGAGAGTTTTTCAGTGGCTCTAGAAATGCGGCGAGAATCCTTGTTCTATTTCATCAGTGGTGCTTTTCAGGCAGTCGGAAAACATTTGCCCTCAGCTTTCCTCTAGCAGCTTTCAAAATTACGAATAAGTGAAGGCCTTCGGCAGTGGAAGGTTGTTTGCTGCGAAGTCATACCAATTGTGCTACTTGTTACGCTGCGGGTCTTTTCGGAGTCACAGCAGTCAGGACGAACTAGAAAAAAAAAAACAGCGCCGTAATTTTATGTAATTTTATGAAACAGCGCAATAATTTTTTTTAATACCGTATTCCAGTTCACCGAACAGTGCTGGCATTAACATAACATTGAGTGGCGAGAGATTTTGGTAGAAAACACTTGGCAAGAATGACAGACAGTAGCAGCCGAATGAGTCAAATGGAGTGTTTATATTTTTCTGGGGTAAGATATATTTTTGGTTGATGGGCTGTTCGGCGCTTCTTTCGGCACAGATCGCTAAACTGGTAATCCATTGCAGCAACGGAACAATTTAAGGTAGCTAAACCAAATAACGGGAACCTGGAACAGATTTGCTACCAAATGGTCAGTGAAATTGGGAAGTTGCCAGTTCTATAGAAAACGACGCTTCGACTGCATCTAGTCAAAGTATCCTTCAAAAACTTATTTGGAATATTATTGCACGGATGAGCTAATGGATATAAGTACTGAGGGTGTGACTATCCGAAGCTGAGTCATTGTGAATTCAGCTCTGGCCTACCTACCTCTAACATTGCTCCTCGTTCCAGTAAAATGTATCTTCGAATCAAAAATATACTGAAAGCAAAAAAAGTATGAAATATAGGAGTGAAAAAAAGAAATATTTTTTACGGAGAAGTAGCGCAAAACCATTACAGTATTTCCAGAACCGCAGAACAAAGGGGCAAGAACGATAATTTGGCATTTTTGAATTTTTACCTGGAACCGAAGTCAGTACTTCAGCTCTTCCAGTGCTGGTATTGGAATGATGAAGCACACAAACAGAGGCGAACAGTCAGCAAGAAACGACTTATGCATCCATACTTTCGCCATAATGCATTTTTTTTTTATTATTGCAGGAAGGTGAAAAAAAAGAAACTACTTTTAGCAGTTTCTTTTGTTTTAAAATTCGGCTGGTTTGGCTGGATTGGAAAGACGACTGACTGGGATTTGAGGGCAGGGAATGGAGGCGAGGAGGAGGCGGCTTGCAGCCGGAATTGGTGGTTTAGGTCTTCGGGTTCGTAATGGATGGAAGGGACAAGGATTACTGACCGCAGGGAGGCTGAAGACCTCCCTGGAGATAGGAACTGGAAACAACAGCGAGATTTATGAAGAAGATGTCCTTATGGGTTTTTCATGCTCAGCCTGAAACTCGATGCTGAGGGGATTTTAGTAGGCTTTAACGTGACCCCTAAATTTTACTTAGAGAAAGAAAAACTTTACTTAGTTATGACGGCTCTTGTAACTCAGACCGAAACTTACAAATGGGTGCATATTGCGCGGATAAATTGAGCCAAAAGAGGTTCAGGAACGATTACTA